GGATGCGCTTTGTGGCACCCATATCCGCATCCGCATCCGCATCCGTATCCGCAACCGCTCCTCCTTCGTTTTCGTCTTCATGTTCGTCTTCGTGGTTTTCTAGGAAGTAAATTTCGTTATCGTTTATTATTATTATTATGCGCGATGTGTGAAATGTCTAAGTCCGGCGTCTTCCGCCCGCCCACTTGATTCTTTGCCGGCGTCGGTGTTTGTGTTGTGACGTGGGAAATAAATTTATATTCATAACACACAGGACGAACGGGACGAACAGGAAGAACAGGAAGCCAAGAAGGGCGGCGGGGAAAGGGCGCCCGACATGCATACAAAGTGCTTTATGTGTGCCACAAGATGCTGAAAGATGGCTCCTAGATGTGGAACGCTCCTGTGGCATTCCATCAACAGACTCGGCAAGTTTTTTGATTAAACTCGAGTGCCTCAGCCAGTCGTCGGTGGGTTCTTTTTTGGGCCTGGCCCACTGCCTCGCCTCGTAGCTTATTAAAGCCACGTCAAGTGCGTGTCGGGAGTAAAGTGCTGGTTGAGCATGTGCAGCTAATGGGATTAGCGCTGCATCCAGGATAGGGCAACGTTCAGCTTCCTCGGAGGCTCCGACCGGAGTTCCTTCAATCTCCTCATATTGATTACTAATTTACTTGCCGGGCTGAACAAACCACTTCCACCCACTCACAACTTTCCACAAACTTCCCTTACAGTGCAACTCCTTCTAAAACTGCTGTTTTGTCACTTATTTTGGTAGTAAAGTTTCAAGAAAATAAAGTTCAAGATGAAGTTAATACTTAAGGAATTATTCAATTATTAAATCATAAAAGTTTTTTCTTAATTATGGGTATGATTTAAAATCTTTCTATTGTAAAGGTGTAAAGTAACTTATACATATTTGATTTAATTTTACTCCAATTTGGTGTTGTCTTAAATCATCTTATGTACTTCCATAAGATTTTATTTTACTTCTGGTTAACAAGCTTCTAATACACAGGTGTTGAGTTTTTTATTTATTTTGTAATGGATATATACGTTTATATGTTTAAAAGCGTTCAAATAAATGTAAAGAAAGTCAAATATCTTTCCGCTGAAAATACATATATATTTCGTATTATAGGAAGAGCTTACGTTTGTTGTTCACATCCGATAAATTCGTTTTATCTAGTGAATATTGACTGTAGCACGTCAGTACAGATGCACAGGCAGACAGACGCTGATAACTCGATTTTAGGTGGCCAAAGTTGGCATTAACATGACGACGACAACGACCAAAGTTGAAACATGCGTCTGGAATCCCGACGCTGGACAACTTTGTCCTGATATAAAATGTACAAAGCCCAGGTAGGTAGTAGTTTCCCAAATAGTCTGGGAATTTCGGGGTCTGTTCCTCCCATCAGAGCAATGCCCTGCAGCCTCCGGCAAAATGGAGTCCAAGTTCCACTCAAAGTCATTCATGCATAAAGTCAAACGGCAGCCGAACATCGCAGCACAACAATCAAAAAAGCGTTTCTAAAGTCAAAGACGCCGCCGGGCAACTGGAACTATCCACAAAAAGGTGGAGCTGCGAATGGAAATGGGCATGGAAATGAGTTGGGAATAGGCGAGCGAATAGGAATGGGAATGGAAATGGAAATGGGAACATGTGCAGTGCAATAACTTGCCAAACTGACACCATGTCCTTGGGGTCTACTTTTTTAGGCAAAAAGCGCGTTGTATCGATAACGGTTGGTCTAAATCTAAAAGTGGGTGGTGCTGGGGGCTGTTAAACAAGTGTATCTGTTCATCATATGTCGAAGGACATCCTGGGGATTACAGTAACCAAAAAAATCGCAAAGGAAGCAGGGAACAAAAAGTCTTTCATACAACACCTTACGCTATTGAGCATATATTCTCTTTGTCTAAAGTTTATAACTCTGACTGTACCAAAAAGCTATTTCTAAAATTAAGTCGAAAAGAACGCTAATGCCTTAATTCAACAATACTTATAATTTTCGGATAATTTCCAAAGGTAAAACAAACAAAGTTTCTATCGTAAAAACCATTAATAAATTTAAATGTCAATTAATTAAAAACTTTGGTTTCCCACTGTTTCTATCAGAATACTGAGATCTTCATCTTTATAATAAGGTATAAAGGTTTTTTTTTTTTGGAAAAATCAAAAAGGAAATTTTTATTTTTTAATTTGGAATTTTTTGTAAGTTTTTTTAAGACAATCTTAGATAAAACTAAATCTTTAATTAACCAAAAAAATTAAATAAAATTATGAATGGTCAAAAACATCTTTTATTCTCAGGTTAACAATACCCTTTGTTTCTCCCACTGCATTTCTCTTGGCAAACAATGAGAAATCATGCACAAATCGAGCAAATTGCATATTTCTTATTTCTGACGCTGGCGACTTTTAATTTTTTATGCGAAATGCAGTTTCGACTGAGACTGCGGATGCGCTGCCGTCTTCCGCCGCCACATCCACTTCCACATCCACTTCCACTGCCATTTCCATTCCGATTCACCGAAAATGCATTCCCCGTTGGCCAAAGAAAGATGAGAGGAGAACCCCAGCCGCATTCCCCGCCTTTTGCCATTTTTCGAGAGCTATATTTTGTACGGTCGTGTGTGACTTGTAAATTTCCCTTGTCGGACTCTTAGAGCTGCTTGATTGAGCTCACGTTCCTCGGTTTCGACTGTCAGACGGAGTGCACTCTCCGCTTGACTTTTTATTCAAAATATATGAAATGGAGTGCATACTCGAATAAGCCCTGAAATTAAACCGGGCTGGGGAAACGCTTTTTATTTCCCCCGCGAGTGTAGAGCAAAGTTTGCCGCAATTTTCGTTTAGTTTTCCCTCAAAGTCGAAGAACGTGAGCCCCGGAATTCCTGAAGCCCAAATGAGTTTCCAAACTTCGACATCATTGTCTTTAATCAAAGGGCATTAAAATGTGCAGTACATATATATCCCATATCCTAATCCCAATCCAAAGGTTCAGCCATTCAAATCCCCTTTCTCGTCTCTAGTTCTCGGAGTTACATTTTTGCATGTCACACGGAGTATTGCAAAACATGAGTATGTAAATTTTTCGTTCGGTTCGTTCCCTCCATCCATCCACGTTGAGCTCTTATGGGTGTTCCCTACGCCATTATACTGTATTAAGTACAGAGTTGATTTCACATGTGTCCCCAACTGAGGGTGGCTGCTGTGAAAAATGTTGCAAAGATGCAAAACAACTGTTGGCAGTTTGTCAAATTTGATTTGTCATACATCAAATGGCTTTAAAATGACAAGGAGAAGTCTGATGTTCTGCTGACAGGGGGTTGGCAGAAGCTTGAGGCGGGTTGTTCCCCCCATTTCAGTTCCTTTTCCTTCGAAGGGAATGTTGTGATGGGAAAAATATGGGAAGAGCTGAGCGGAATTCTGTGGGTTTTTTGTTCTTGCTGCTGGTGTGAAAAATGTCCAGCAAATAACTAAAGTGTTGATGTGTAAACTCAATTGTGGGTTTTTTTGCTGACATGGGGTTGGTCAGAGCAGATGGCACAAGATAAGGGTTAAGGCTAATTAAATGGATTGCGTTGCAGGAATATTAAGTAAGGAATACTTTTACTTGTGGAGGTAAAATGAATGTTTATAGGATGTAAATATTATATTGTTATGTAAGCAGTTACCTTACACTTTAAAATTCGTAGATCTCCAACCAAAACTTACCATTGAACTATCATCCATCAATATAATGCTGAGCCCGGTAAGCTTCTCTACTTAATAGCCGAGTCATCAGTCACTGGGGCAACTCCAAAAGCGGCCAGCTTAAGCCGCAAATTGACGCCACTTCACCTCACTGAAGAGCCCTGCTCATTGCCATAATATTCTAATATAAATTTAACGCTCTTCATCAGGAGTGCGGCCAGCTCTCTCCAGCCAGAGGAAGTCAGGATGCCAAAACAACACGCAGACTGGGGAACAGGACCAGCCGGCGGCAATGAGCTGACTTATGAACAACGACCCGAGTAACCCGACGCCAAAAGGTACTTGAGGCCAACAAGGCTGTTAGGCAGGCAGGAGCAGTCAAGGAGCAGCTGAAGGACATGGAAGCGAAACTCATTTGCCTCATCGAGCCGTAATGGAGGGCAGAAAGCAGGGGGAAGGGAACGGGGCGCTCCACAGTTGGTTGCGGGCAGGACCTGGTCTGCAATTGTGTGCAGCGTGACAAGCAAATTGCCAGGATACACACCTAGCCACAGACAATGTGGAGTCCTGCGCTCCACTCGCGTGTTAAACTTTGCTGAATGGACTACACTTCACTCCCTTAACCACCGAACACACTTGCACACTACTAACTGGGCCAAAACACAGCAAGGATGTGGATGTGTTTGGATATGTGGATCAGGATGAGCTGTGCGGGGCTCATCGCAAAAGGGCTGCGAGTGGCCTGTGCGACCATGACTAATTTGTTAGCAATTATGTTGGATTGACGTCCCGGATTGGGCCACATTAGCATAATTGTTGTTATGAGATCGCCCAGGAGTCCGCAGCACAACAGACATTTTGATGGGGAATAGATTCGGTTCGAAGGCCCTACATGCAGTGCACTTGACATTCATTAACATGACACTCGGATTTACATTAAAGGGTGGCTGGTTGGAAGGACATACAAGAGGTAAGGACAATGTGAGATGAGGCGAAAAATAACAAGAAAGGCCCTTAAAGGAAGAACTAACTGTAGACGTACCTAAAGTCAAGAGATTGTGGTCAAGTCTATATGGAATATTAATTAATTGTACCACTACAGAAATAATAGCAGGACTATAGATTTATATGAGCCTCAATGATTTTGGGAGAAACTAGATGAATATATGAGGTAGAAGTTTTTAATAAATCTTAATATTTACTTAGCTCTTATTTATATTTATTTAGTGAAATATAGTATCTAGATCTTTCACATATAATTTGTATATGTATTTACATATATTATTTATCAATTTTGTATTTAAGTTTTTTATTTATTCAACAGAAATAGATACCCTTGATTTACTTTTTAAATCAATATACGATGTCTTTCTCTATTCCAAATCCGAAAAGATGAGTTTAGACAAATTCCCAAATTCGTTGTCGCCACCCGAATGCCGCTCCAGACTGAGCCGTCGGACCGATTGCAATGGCACCGCCAATTTCTTGCTGGCGGGTTGTCGGGCTTCCTGGAGATCGTCTGCTTCCATCCGCTCGACGTTGTCAAATCCCGGATGCAGGTGCAGGGAGCTCATTCCGTCAACGGTGAGGTGATCTACAGAGGAACCCTGGACGCCATGGTCAGTATTTATCGCTACGAGGGCCTGAGTTCCCTGTGGAAGGGCATTGTGCCACCGCTGTGCGTGGAAACCCCCAAGAGAGGCGCCAAGTTCATGGCTTACGAGCTGCTAAAGCCCTACTTCCATTTCGGCTCGCCTCATCCGACGCCATTGACTCACGCCGTTGCGGGGTCAGTGGCAGCCACGCTGGAGTCCTTTGTGGTGAATCCCTTCGAGGTGGTCAAGATCACACAGCAGACCAATCGGGAGAAGCGCCTTAAAACTCTGGCGGTGGTTAAGCACATCATCAAACACGATGGCTATGGCATCAATGGACTTTATCGCGGAATCACGGCCCTCGCGGCCAGAAATGCTGTCTTCCACTTTGGCTTCTTTGGCTTTTACAATGCACTGAAGGATTGGGCTCCCGTCTCGCAGGACTCCGCCTCGCAGCTCCTGCGAAGGGTCATCTTTGCCGGAGTGGCCAGCTCCCTTGCCTGCCTGATGAGCGTCACTTTGGACATGGCCAGGTGCCGGATCCAAGGACCTCAGCCGGTGAAGGGAGAGGTAAAGTACAGGTGGTGCATAAGTACGATCAAGACGACCTTCAAGGAGGAGGGAGCTCGGGGCTTGTTCAAGGGCCTGGGTGCGATGGTAATGAAGGTGGGTCCAGGCGGAGCCCTGCTGCTTGTGACCTACGAACATTTAAATGAATTTTTTAAAGATATAAATTTGTAGTCCCTTTTAAACAAAAAGTCTTCGAGTGAGAGCATTCATTTAAAACTAGTGACATAATTACAACCTAAAAAGATCCTAAAGAATTAAACCACGTATATGAAACAGCTAATTAATTTTTTTCTTCTCCAAACAAATGATTATGTTCAATATTGGTCAACCACATAACAGAAATTTACTTCGAGTCTCTTAAAAATCCCTTCAATTGCTTTGTTGAGTTGGTGTTTGCCTTTCCGTTTCAGTTTCGACTTCCGTTTCCGTTTCACGGTTTCCCCACACAAACACACACACACACGAATAGAGAGACATGACCGCAGACCGCAGCTCAGCATGTTTTACAATTTACACTTAATTGTTTAGCACGACAACAGCAGAAACACCGAAAACGGCAACTGAAACGGCATCAACAAGACCGACAATTATAAGCCAGCCATAACAAGAATTACAATTACACGGAGCACTTACAGGGGGAATTATAATTAATTTATGCCGAGTGCTGCTAGTGTTTGTTCGGACGCCTCTAAGTGAGCTACTGACTTGGCTTTTCCACCCAGACTTCTTTTTTGTGCTCCTTTTTTATGGCTCCACTTCACTTGACACTCGCACCTAATTGCGTGGTAATTGAAGGGGTCCTGCAGGACGAACGGAATGGCAATTAAGAGCCATTACGGTAAGCAAAGAGCAGAAGGATCCTGACGTCGCATTACCATATCTTAAATCAAGACCCAATTAAGCCGCTTAATTCCCATAAATCAGAGTTGAATGCTTGGCAAATTTGGCCAACTGCAAATCAACATTTGTTGCCATCAATCAAATTTTGAACCCAAACAGGCCGGCTTCGGACTTTTCAACTTCGAAGGGGGTAAAAGGGGCCATTAAATAGAGTTTCATGCTTAATTAGTTTTAATGCGTAATAAGCATATTTCGGCTGAATTAGCCAAAAACATCAACCGTAACTGTGAGTGCAACAACAGCACAAATGTGTTCGATTGTAATGGCTATTTGGGCCTTAAAGTATGCAGTGCACATTTTCAATTATTCATAGTTGAAATTGCAAATGCGTAATGAAATGAAATCAAAAGCAGAATTTCCGATATGTGCAGTCCAACGTAATTCCAGCTCCACCTCCACCACCTCCCCCCTAGAAAATCCCCAACCCAATCGCTTTCGTCCCCAATGGAGTGGAAATGCCCTTGAGCCGTTTGCCATGTTCATGTCGACGTCATTTTCCATGGTATAGTAATTACACTAATCTATATTTCGAGTCTCTCTCTGTATGTGTGTATATCCGTGTTGATGTCCTGTTGTGTATGTGTGTGTATATGTGAGCCTATGTGAATGCATTTGAAATTGACCCTGGAGACATTTTCGTTGGCCAGAAAATGCAACCCGAATCGCATTTATTGTTTTGTACTCTTGTTGTTTGCTGTTTGTTTCTCAGTTTGTTTAATTGTTTGCCAGCTCCAAGTGTTTCTTGTTTGTTGGCAATTTGTCAAGCGGTTTAAATTTATTGTACCCAGATCTTATAGCTGTTGAGCGAATTTAACTAATGGTTCTGGAAAATGCTTCATTAATTCAGCAAAGTTCAAAGCAGTTGCAAATTTATAGTGAGCTTATTTATGGAAAAACGAACTAATTCGTTATGTCTTTAATGAACCCATTAAAAATAAACTCTAAAAACATTGCCAGCAAGGAAACAAAAACAATTTTACTCAGTTGCTCAATCAATTGCTAAACAAATTTAGCTTTGAAAAATTTCAAAAACAAATTGAATTAACACAGAAGTGCACAATACAATTTAATTGCTCTGGTCGGAGAGCTGGCCGTGTTTTCCCCTTTTCTGCCACCGTTGGTCATGTCTAGTCAATAAAATATGAATTATTTGAAATATTTAAACGCCCCAAATAAATCAAATGCCAACACTCGACGCCATCAAAGCCACGGCAAGGCAGTAGAGAGAATGGCAACATTTACAAGTATTTTTTGTGATGTCGAATTGTGTGTGTTGGCTGCCAAAAAATTTTCCAGCTGAGGATAATATTTTTTTATCAGGAAACAGCAAAAATTTGTGTTGCCGTTGTGGTTGTCTAAATAAATTTTTTATTGACCATGGTTAACGCTTCAGTGGCCAATAACCAGAGACAGGCACTGCGGGCGGGGAAAATGGGGAAAAGAGGGAAAAGCGAGCGGCGAAGGAGGCGTGGAAAAGGCAAAAACCACTGGAGAATGCCAAATTTGGGGGCTGGGCAGCGGGAAGGGAGTGTTCAAAGTTCTGGCTTCCCACACAAACGCCTCAAAGCATGCCACAAGTTATTTTCACAGCCCAGCACACACACACACACACACACCACATACAGAGAGAGAGTGGAAAGTCGTTGCGTACCGGACGTGTTTTATATTCGAGTGCGCGAAAACAAGTTTCCTACGTTGTGATCCGCGTGTGCGACATCTAAAATTGAAGAGAAGGGGTTGTAGCGACCCATAGTTGTGGAAGGATAAACATACCAGTGTGCGGAGGTCTTCCCTGGACCCCAGAATCCCTCTGGCTCCAGTAGCGTCGGCTCGGCACTGGGACGAAGGGGTGATACCCCCCTGCAGGTGAGTGAAAGCCCTTTTCACTCAATTTTCCGAATTGGGTGATTAGGTCTGCCATCTTCGTGGTCAGTTGACTGATCAGCTGCGCTGCAGAGTTACCAACTTTTGCGCAAGCGTTAGCCGAGCTGCCAACTCGCGGGGAAAGCTCTAAAGCAAGCTCTCCTCCGACCAAGTATAGCATATTTTTAGGCGACAGGTAGGAGTCATAAGATTTAAAGGATGGCGAGCCGTGGCCCTGGCCCGGTTAGCATAACTAAGGAGACGACTCAGGGCAAGGCCAAAAGCGCAGCAGCTGAAGACTCTGCTGCGCCGGAAGCTGACCCATTTAGGAAGAGTAGCAAGATGGGGAGATCACCGACAAAGGTGCCAAAATCTCCACCCATCTTCTCGCCTGCAGTAGAGCAGGAACAGGCGGATACGGCGCATGCTGGAGGTCCCACAGAAGCGGGGGTCTTCCATTTCAGCGCAATTTCCGAGCAGGGACTGGCTCCGCTTATCGCCAATGGCGACATGGACGGAGTTGTTGGAGCGATCGGGGCGAAATTGTCCCAGCTTAACAGTATGATGTTAGGCAAGACGAGGGTGATGGTGACGATTCCTATGAAGGAACTCGTGCAGCAGGTCATCGCCCTCCAAAAGTCAGCAGTCAGGATTCTGGAGACGGCTCCAAAAAATCCCAGTGAGCAAAAGCCCACTCCCAAAAGGTCACGTGAGAGCCCTAGAGCCGGTAAGCTCTCAGCGCCAAAAAGGCAGAAGGTGCCGCAACCTTGCGGCACAAGCAATAAGGTGGTGAAAGCCATAACCTACGCAAGTGCAGCGAAGCAAATTTCCGGCCCCCTTCCGCCGAGCCATGCGGACAAAGGCACGAAGGAGGGTGCGGAGAAATGGTCGACGGTTACCAAAAAACCGAAGAAGCAGCAGCCAAAAAAGCAGCAGCAGCATAGAAAACTCCCTCCACGCACAGACGCACTAGTCGTCAAGTGTGGCGAGGGCATGCAGTATGCCGACGTGTTAAAGTTGGTGAAAAACAACCCAACTTTACAGCAACACAAAGATTGCGTCAAAGGCATACGGATGACTGGTAGGGGCGAGCTACTCATCAAAATGATGAAAACGGCCGACCCAGCCACATCCAAATTACAGAAGGCAATGCAGGAGACTCTGTCTGATAAGGCAGAGGTTAAAGAATTGAAGGAGCTAGTCCAGGTTGAGATTAGGGACATAGCAGAGTTCTCGTCGAAGGACGATATCATCCAGGCGGTTTTCGCCAACTATGAGGGCGACATCCCACCTGCGGCCATTCCTTCCCTAAGGAAGGCATACGGGGGGCACACAAGTAGCCAGGTTGAGCATCCCGCCCGTTCTTGCGGAGAAGATCCTAGCAGAAGGAAAAATCCGCATTGACTGGGCGCACTGTAGGGTCCGTAAGTCCGATGAGCCAAAGCGATGCTATAAATGCCTCGCATTTGGTCACATGGCCTTGCACTGCCGTAGCAAGGTCGATCTGTCCAAAGCGTGCTTTAACTGCGGTGGGCCCGATCACGAGTCCAAAAGCTGCAGCAAAGAGGCACGCTGCCTATTATGCGCAAAAACCCAGGGCGCAAACTGCAAGCACCACACGCTTAGCAGAAGCTGTCCAGCTTATCAGCAGGCTCTCAAAGCAAAGGGGAAATGAAAATTCTCCAATTGAATTTGAACCATTGCAGAGCGGCCCAGGACTTGCTTGCACAAACGGTGCGAGCCCTAAAAATAGACCTGGCCATCTTGAGCGAGCCATACGCAAGTAAGCACGATGGGATTTGGTTTCAAAACTCCCAAGGTGGTGCAGCAATTTGGAGCTGCAGCCCGAGACCACTGCAGATCCAATGCCGGCATTCAGGCAGAGGTTTTGTCAGGGCGAAGGTGGGTAGCCTTACCATCTATTCGTGCTACATTGCACCCAGTGTCGACTCGCAGACATTTGGCAGCATTGTTGACGACATTCTGGAGGACGCCAGAGGACGACACCCCATCATCATTGCCGGCGATTTCAACGCCTGGGCAACGGAGTGGGGCAGTCGCCTCACAAACCATAGAGGCCACATATTGTTGGACGCTATTGCCCGGTCAGGCCTCACTCTGGCTAACACAGGGTCAGCCAACACATTCGAGAAGGCGGGAATGGGTTCAGTGATCGACATCACGTTTATGAGCCCAACCTTAACCAGGACGTCAGCATGGCAAGTCTCAGAGATATATACCGGAAGCGACCACCGGGCCATCACCATGGAAATAAGAGACGGGCGATATAAACGCAAAAACATCAATGCGTCCACTGGGTTCCGAGATTCTACCCTCGACCCGCAAGCCCTGATCTTAATGGCGGAAGATCTCGTGTATGACGAGCGTAAGAACGCCAACGAAAATGCTGTATGCATTAAAAAAGCAACCTGGTCAGCATGCGCAGCTTCCATGGAAAGGAGACGTGCTGGCGGAAATGGGTGTCCCCCGGTGTATTGGTGGACCGATGCCATAGCGGAGGCGCGCAGGAAGTGCCACCAGGCACGAAGGCAATATATGCGCTCTCGAGGTAGGCCGAACTTCGCCTCACTCCAACGCCTCTACAAATCCTTGCGGACGGCTCTTAAAAAGGAGATCTCCGCGAGCAAGAAACAATGCTTCGCTAAACTATGCGATGACGCAGACACACGTCCCTGGGGCACAGCGTACAAGCTGGTAATGGGGAAGTTGGCGGCCTTCAGCCAGCCCACCCCAACATGTCCTGAGCAGCTCAGCAACATAGTGGCGCACCTCTTCCCGCCGAGTGTAGTACTGCAGCCACAGCAAGAGCCCTCCCCGCTTCAAAGTGAGATTTTTCCCACGTTCACAAATGCTGCGGAAGTCTTGGCTGAAGTTAGGAGAATCAAAGTCGAAAAGGCCCCTGGCCCAGATATGATCCCTAACAAGGCATTAAAGATAATAATGACGGAGAGATTGGAGATCTTCGTAAAGCTCTTCAATGCCTGTTTCGCTCAGAGAACGTTCCCTGAAGCCTGGAAAATGCAGAGATTGGTACTATTACCCAAGGGCAGTCAAAATGACAACCTTGCGGCCTATAGGCCACTCTGCATGCTCGACACTGTGGCAAAGGTATACGAGAGGCTAATCTGCAACCGCATCGAAGTTGCACTGTCCGAGAGTCTGGGCTTATCCAACAATCAATTTGGTTTTAGGAAGAAGCGATCCACAGTGGACGCGATCGGGCTGGTACACAAACTGGCCTCTGAGGCAATCCAGGGAGCACGTTGGCGAGGCGGTAGCAAAAAAATACTGCCTTGTGACTACCCTGGACGTAAAGAACGCATTTAATACTGCCAACTGGGTGCGGATACTCTCAGCCCTGAGACGTTTACAGGTCCCCAGCTATCTGGTGGACATAGTCTCAGAGTATCTTAGCAACAGACAGCTTCTATATGATACTGAGGAGGGCCGTCGAAGCTATGCAGTTTCAGCAGGAGTTCCCCAGGGCTCGGTGCTGGGCCCTACCCTCTGGAACTGCATGTACGATGGAATACTGAACCTACAGCTCCCTGAAGGAGCTACGATCATTGGCTTCGCAGACGATATTGCTGTCGTCGCAGTAGCGAAGCACCTAAATGAAGCCGAAGCAGTAACTAATGCGTCTATCGAGCAAGCTTCCCACTGGCTATGTGCTAATGGCCTGAAGCTCGCCGAGCACAAGACGGAAGCCGTCTTGATCAGCAGCAGGAAGGCAGTAGAAACCGCCCAAATAATAGTGGGTAGGACAATTATACGGTCCAAGCCCTTCATTAGGTATCTTGGCGTAATGCTGGACCACCGGCTTACGTACAAATTCCATTTAGAGGTGACGGGCAACAAAGCGGCCAAAGTTGCCACGTCTTTAGCTAGAATGTTAGGGAATGTTAACGGGCCAAAACAGCAGAGCAGGCGCCTTCTGGCAAATGTGGTGAAATCCACAATCATGTATGCGGCACCGATCTGGGCTCCGGCCATGACCTCGCCCACATATAGTCGCTCATGCAGAGCGGCATACAGACGCGCCGCACTCCGAGTTATATGTGGCTTTCGGACCATTTCCGAGGAAAGCGCGTTATTGCTAGCCGCCACGACGCCCCTAGACCTGCTCGCAAAGCAGGCGCAGGAGCTGGCCGGCGAATTTGCATCGATCGAGGAGAGTAGAGCCCGCGTGGTCTCAGCGTGGCAAAACCGGTGGAGTGGAAGCACAAAGGGTAGGTGGACGTACAAGCTACTGCCAGATGTGAAGCGTTGGGTTGAAAGAAAGCACGGACAGGTTGACTTCTACATGACGCAACTGTTGACAGGACATGGGTGCTTTAAATCCTATCTTCATAGGTTTGGGCACGAGACGGACCCGTTCTGCACACAGTGTACTGGGGCAATCGAAGACGCAGAACATGTTTTCTTTTTATGTCCGAAATTTGAAGCTATAAGGCATGAGCTCAGCCTAGCAATTGGGAAGCCGTTCACGGTCTCTGACCTGATGGATACGCTACTGGGCTCACAAAACAATTGGGATGCCGTCAGCAAAATGACAGTCTTTGTCATGAAATCCATGCGTCGCGCTGAACGTCAGCGCAACCGTCGTCTAACCTAGTTTAATTACTAGTTGCGGCTTTTCAGGCCATCTCCCCCTCGCGAAGTAATACCCAAGGTTAACCCCTGCGGTTGTACCGTGAGAAGGGAAACGGAGAGTAGGTTCGGGGTTTTACTGGGTGAAAGACCCAGACTTCGGCTCTTCAAGCTTTACCACCTACTATAAAAAAAAAAAAAAAAAAAAAAAACACACCACATACACTCACACGCACACACACAGCAGGCAGTCGGTCGAGTGTGCGTGCCGTTGTGTTTGCGTCGGTGTGCGAGCGAATAAATGTATGAATGAATGAATGAAATGCTCAAATTACACATGTTATACAATTGTTGGTAGAAAATATGATTATGCTTGAGGGAAAAAGGGCCAGCAAACCCCAAAAATTTCAAATGTCTAAACGTGAGCTTGTGTGCCTTCCTAGAGGTGTTAATCTGGAAACGAAAAAGGATCACTGAGTTTATATACCCTTTGGTTAAATTTAATAAATGTGAAAAAATCTTATTTATACTTGTAAAGGTAATAAAAAAATTTGTATTTTATGTAATAAA